ACTTCGGAAACATTTTGAAACGTCTTTAATATGACACTCGCGCTCGTTAACTCATTAAAAGTGAAATACAAGCCAATAACGTATGCCCTCGGTAATTTCTTTAACCATAATAAATCGTTTCAACATTTATTCTGAAAGACATGATTAATTTTCATTCACGGAATTGCTTGTTTGGCATTTCGAACTTTCTACTCTGTCGCATATTGAATATGTATTTAAAAAAAAAAAAAGTTTCATAATGGCGGTGACATTTTGATTTTTTTTTTTGAGATCGAATCTGTTTGAAATTGTTTCTAGGATTCCAAGACGAAATAAGATGTCATAATTAAAAAACAATATTTTGTCAATAACTACTAAACCAATGATATTTTATATGTAAAAAGAAGCAGATATGTTTCAAGCGCACGTCAAGTGAAGACTCGAAAACAGGCCAATTGGGACGTTTCGTCTTTAGTCGCGTCTAAACAAATGCAATAATATTATAACAGGTGCAATCGTTCCAATTATAGCTATTTTTTTTACTCACGCGCTTATCCCATCTTTTGTACTTTTTATTAATGCTACTTGTCAACATGTATGTGCACTATATCGGTAGGTATGTAGATATATATGGCGCGATCAGATTTGAAGGGTCAGTTACTATGAAGATAACATATCTGTTGTATAAAAAATCATTGTACTAAACCATTTATTCAAAAACACAGACAGAATTTCATTCGTTAACATCGGATTTACTTAATCCGTAATCTAATGTGAATGTAGCGTAATATTGGGATGCGATCCCCCGCGTGGCCCAAGCTACTTGTACCTAGCAAGTCAGTTAATGTGTTATTAGATACGTATTATAAGTTCATCAAAAAACGAAGTAGTCTATTTTAGGACATATTTTGTCACTCGGTCCGCGATTTTATACTGTAGTAATTTTAAGCAACCCCATCACTGTTAAAATATGTCTTAAATTACGGGAAGCATTAACGAATTGCCGATAGATCGACCCTTTATTTGTCAAACAATATTAGAAAGTGCAAAATTAAATTTAGCATTGATTGAATTAAGATACTTTGCACGCTTAATTAATATGGTCCTTTTTTTTAAATCTTTTAGCAATTTCTACAAAATATGTAAAAAAAGTTCATCACTGGGTTAAGGTTAGTAAACTCTTTAGAAATCATTCAAGTATAAGATAATTCTGAACTACCTAAATATTAAATTTTTAATTGCACATTAACTAATTGTAATTCGCTACAATATTATTAAATACTAGCCGTACCCGCCAGTTTCGCTGGGCATTTAAAGTTAACATTATTATTTATTGTCATTATTATTAGGGAGTCGAACACTCATATAAATATTAGCCTATCCATTAAGTACATGTATTTTTTACATGGATACCAAGTTTCAAGTCAATCGGATGCATGGTTCAGTATTTATAACGGATCATCCGTAAAAACCACTGTAGATTTATATATTAGTAGATTAAAATTGTGAGACACGAACAAAGAAATGAGTAAAATAAACTCACAATTAACTTAAGAAAAAAACAATTATTTTTCACGTTCTGTCGTAAACTGTTGTTGGCATCCGATCCAATATGGCGACGGTTAGAATGACACGTTGATATATTGCCGCTAATTACTCAAGACGGGAGGTGTTTATTGAAAATAGCGTTGCGGTGATGATGTGGCGTGTCCGCCGCGTCTTCGCATCGTAAGGAATGACTTCCGTAGTGTACGGTGATAATGATTACATCGGATTTAAAAACATATGTATTCCAACGAAAACAATACAAGTAATTTATTCAATATCTAGGTACCCAAGATAATATAAAATATCACAGGTACATATTTATATACCTAACACAGTTGATACGTTCCTACAAAGTCCCGTGCTGTGCGATACCGTGTTAAATGAGACTAGAATGAAATACGTACCTACTCAACAAATGCTCACGATTGATTACCACGGTGAAGGAATAACATCGTGTAATAAAAATCAAACACGCAAAATTGTAATTGCGTAATTACTGGTGGTAGGACCTCTTATGAGTCCGCACGGGTACCACCACCCTGCCTATTTCTGCCGTGAAGTAGTAATGCGTTTCGGTTTGAAGGGCGGGGCAGTCGTTGTAACTATATTTGAGACCTTAGAACTTATATCTCAAGGTTGGTGGCGCATTTACGTCGTAGTTGTCTACGGGCTCCAGTAATCACTTAACACCAGGTGGGCTGTGAGCTCGTCCAATCATCTAAGCAATAAAACAAAAACAGCGTATTGGATTGCGGCCACGAGATCTTTTGCCTGCAATCTTGCCAGTTACTATCGATTTTTCAAGATTTACACTGCTCTTTATGGCAATGTGACCGAAGAACTCAAATATCTCCTCTTGAGGCATATGGTAGAGTGCCTGGTTTGGATATTAAGCTGTCTTAGAATAAGGTTAAGTTAACAAAAAAGTTTAACTATTTTTTTTTTATTTATATTTTGTTACGTAGTCTTTTTAGTGTCTGTGTCGTTGTTTAGAATCGAGACACTGGAATATATTCCCGTAATTTCGTAATAGCAGTAAAAATATTTAGAAGAAATATTATTTTTTGCTACGTACCGTCCGGCTATGGAATGAGCTCCGCTCCACGGTGTTTCTCGAGCGCTATGACATGTCCTTCTTCAAACGAGGCTTGTGGAGAGTATTGAGCAGCGGCTTGGCTCTGCCCCTGGCATTTCTGAAGTCCATGGGCGACGGTAACCGCTCACCATCAGGTGGGCCGTATGCTCGTATGCCTACAAGGGCAATAAAAAAAATATAGATACACTGGTTGATGGGAAAGAGCTTATAAAAGCGCACTGCAGCCTCCAACCGGCATTTACTGGTTATAGAAGCATTACAAGCCCGCATCTCTACGTACCACCATATTGCCTGTTTCCACCGCGACGCTGTCACGTCTTCCAATTTTAACGATGCAATAGTGCAAGTAAATTGTGGAAAATATAGAGGAATTGTAACGTCGTAACAGCCTTTATACTGGTGGTAGGACCTCTTGTGAGTCCGTGCGGGTAGGTACCACTCCCTGCATATTTCAGCCGTGAAGCAGTAATGCGTTTCGGTTTGAAGGGCGGGGCAGCCATTGTAAACTATACTGAGACCTTAGAACTTATCTCAAGGTGGGTGGCGCATTTACGTTCTAGATGTCTATGGGCTTCAGTAACCATCTAAGCAGCAAAAAAAAAGATGTGTCCTGCAGTAGACACAATGGGATGCGGGTGGTACAATGGCTGATCAGTTCATCTACGATTTCCAACGATAAAATCTAAACAACACAGAAAATTCCTTAACTTTTTGGCACCGTAAGAGAAAAAAAATAACGTTCCAAATGCCAACGTTGAAAATCTATTAATTTAACTACGAGATCAATTATCGATGTTGGCGCGCCCCTTTGGCCGACATAGCACGAATGACATTGTTTGTGCCAAACGATATGTTACTTCACTTGCAATAATTCATCTATATAAAACAATACGTAGTCAGAGCGCCAATGATATTTTATATGTAAAAAGAAGCAGATATGTTTCAAGCGCACGTCAAGTGAAGACTCGAAAACAGGCCAATTGGGATAGGGAATAAGTGAAAGTCTGATGGCGCTATATCAGGCGAATAAGGTGGGTGGGACAGCTAATCATACTTCAATTCGTTGATTTTTGCCATAGCTTTAACACATGTGGAACCCTAGCGTTGTCTTGGGGGAAGATGATTTTTTTTTCGCCAAATATGGTTGTTTTTGCTGAATAAACTGATGAAAATTATAAAGACGATTAGCGTAGTATTCTCCATTAATCGTTTGACCTTTAGAAAGGTAATCTATCATCAAGATCCCATCTGCATCCCAAAAGACGGAAGCCATCACTTTTCCAGCCGACTTTACAGCCATGGCTTTTTTGGAGCCGGGCATCGCGATTGCGTCCACTGTTTTGATTGAATTTTTGATTCTGGCGTGTAATAACAAACCCATGTTTCATCTGTTGTTACAAATCGACGTAAAAAATCGGCATTATTACTCTGAAACGGTCCAGACATTCTTTTGACTTTTGCACCCGAATCCTCTTTTGATCGTGCGTAAGCAATCGCGGCACCCAACGGGCCAATGACTTTTTCATATTTAATTCCTCACTTAGGATATGATGTACCCGGTCTTTTGAGATACCTGTAGTATCAGCTGTTTCAGATAACTTCAGTCGTCGATCTGTTAAAACCATATCATGTACTTTCACGACCATTTCCGGAGTCGTGACGCTTTTTGGACGTCCGGAGCGGGCTTCATCTTGGACACATGTAGGACCGCGTTTAAACTCAGCCACCCAGTTTTTTACTGTGGTATAAGAAGGAGCACATTCACCCTAAGCATTATTTAACTCGTCATAGATATCTTTCCCCTTCATACCCTTCATATTAAGAAACTTTATCACCGCTCTTTGTTCAATTTTATCCATTTTGAAAACACTTGACGAAATATATTTTCAAATGACAAAAAATCAAATTCCACCAAATTCAAATTTAGAACACAGGTAGCCAGAGATACGAATTTAAAAATTACATATACATTTTTAAAATTTTAACTTTTTAAATAGTAGAGGCTAGTTACTTATCATCCCGCCCTCGTAAAAACTTCTTGACTTATTTGAATGGGGTAAACTTAATTGAAGTTCAATTAAAAACATCGAACTGTTGACGCTTCCTGTTCACGTTGATTTGTTGTGACTCTGATCGTGGAACTCACAATGAACCAGTGTGCTTAGTGCGAGTTTTTTAACGCTCCCGATAGCGTAAAAGTTAACTCATATTTCTATGCAGTTGGAACAGCGCCCCTAGCGGCAAACGTAGGCAAACATTTCAGCTCCATACAAATTTGAGTTAACTTTTACGCTATCGAGAACGTTAAAAAACTCGCACTAAGTACACCAGGGGTCAGTAGTGCCTTTTGTGATACATTATCCAATTTTTTTTTCAGGCTCTTGTTCGTCACGCGGCAAACGCGCACGTACTGCTTTCAGCGCGCAACAGATTAAAAGCTTAGAGGCGGAGTTTGAGAAAAACAGATATTTATCTGTGGCGGCCAGAGGTCGACTCGCCAGGCAATTGAGGCTGACGGAAACACAGGTTTGTCGTGTTCGGAACTTGACATCTCTATGAAGCGATATACTGCATAGATTATACACATAATATATTTGATAATATACTGCTTCAACGAATGTGACAGTTGTCATTAAAAAAGTTGAGGCCTTAACCCATTAGATAGGTTTCATACTTCAGTGCTTTAACCTCATTTGTCGAGATGAGTGTCGGCATTGACTTTTAAGTGTCAGTCCCACTGACGATCTAACCATAGATTATACACTTAATATATTAGAGATCTAACACCAAATGAGTTCTATGAGGTTGTCTACCGGAATGTCCCAGACAGTACTCTAGTCGCTTAAGGAAATTAAAATCTTAACGCTAAGGTAAATAGCAATCAAATTTAAATAAGCAAAATTTTGTCCTTTGTGACGGAAAACGTGTTTCTTAAAACGACTCTACTTTAAGCTGTTGTTATGTCGTTACAAGTAACGCCATCTGCTGTCAAATAGCGAAAACGGATATCGAAACGACCAGTACTATCGGAAATGTTCTAAAAGCGAGTGAGTAACTCACTCCTGATATTTAATTTCAGCCAATCTCATCTCGTTTCATTTAATTTCATCCCAATTGATAGTTTCAAATTAATCAACTTTATTTTATTTCTTTTCGTATCAGTTTTCATACAACACTAAGTAGGTTTATATTTGTTATTTGAAGATTTTTATAAACTCATCACTGGTAACAATGTGTCGCACCTTTGCATTAGACGCTTTCAGCTCTAACACTAGGAGCAGGCTTAGGGGCCCCGGTAACCGTACTCGTCGAACTCGAGAAAGAGGTCGACGTGCAACCTAACCCATGCATCAGCACGTTGAGTTTCTCGCCGGATCTTCTAAGCGAGTCGCGATTCCTATCCAGTAATAGATTCATTCGCGAAGCAGCTGCTCTTGAGTTGTCAGGTCTCCTTAGGAGGAGTTCGAGCGGCTGTTAGCAAATTCCACCCCTCCTGGATGAGCCTTTGCTCGCCCACCTGTCCTAGTGAAACTGGAAAGGCCACCAGTAATCCTTCAATCATAAAAAAGGTGTCGCAAGAATCCGATTGCCATACTTAATAAAATAGAAGAAGAATTATAGTTGGATTCATTGTATAATTTTACCACTTGTAACACAAAGCTATCTCTTTCCTTTCAGATCAAAATATGGTTCCAGAATCGGCGAACAAAATGGAAACGAAAGTACACGAATGATATCGAACTTCTTGCTCAGCAATACTACACCAGTTTGGGAATCGTCTCGCCAAGACCTATGTTCGTTGGGGATCGACTTTGGGTTTTCAATTACCCGAACAGAATACCGCCTACACAACAGCAATGGATGAAACCGGTAAATAACACAACAAGCCCTTTAGACCGTTCGCTGTTTCGAAGTTTATCCAAACCTGAAATCCCGCAATTTTGCGTCCCAGCGAGTGTGTATCCGAGCGAGCACGTGTTCCCGAACGTCGATCGGAGTTTTTTGACAGGAAATGTCAAAATTCCCGCGCAAATCCGATTGCCGCGCGAAATCTACAATAATATGGCGACAGCGCAAAGGAACATGGAAGCGTTCAAAAATAACATCCTCAGCCATAGCACACCACCGCCAGAGTCCAGTGTAGATCATCTAAGAAGACTCGAAGAGAATTTTAGTATTTAAGTTTGTAATATATAGTTTTTGTAACGTCTGCTGTGTAAATATAATAGAATTTTGAGAAGTATTTTTGTATTATTTATGTTCTTCAGTATAGCGCACGATTTAAGAAATAAAATATAATATTTATTAACATGAAAAGTACAAGTATGTATGTATATAGAGTATGTGTAAAGTGGATTTTTTACGATAACCGTAAGCGGAAAATGCAATGGCTGACCCCAGGTCAAACACCGCAAGTGTCCTAAAGCAAAGCTTACCAATAAAAAAGTACCTAATGGTAACTGTTTGGTGGTCGCAGCATGGTGTTATTCACTATATCTTTCTCCGATCTGGTCAAGCAATAACGGCAGATGTCTACTGTGCCAAACTCCATACAATGTTAACAAAACTTGCAGTGAAACAGCCCCGACTCGTGAATCGATCTTCACCATTATTGCTCCATGATAACGCGAGACCTCATACAGCACGAGAAACCGTTTTAACTCTACAGGAACTGCAATTAGAAACCATTCGTCACCCTCCGTATTGAACAGACCTAGCTCCAACGGACTCATTTTTTTCGTGATTTGGACATTTTTCGACGTGATAAGAAGTTTTCTTCCCAGGTGGCAGTGCAAAATGCTTTCACACAATTTGTAGAATCGAGATCACAAGAGTTCTATCGCAAAGACATAAATGACCTTCCTATTAGATAGTAGCAATGTATCAATAATAATGGTAGATATTTTGATTATGTTTAATGAAAAAAAATATGAATTTCAATTTTTCAGTACAAATCGGCAATTTCATATTTTAACCCCTAATATAATTAAATAAGCAACTAAATGAATGCTTTTGTAATTTTAATTTTTTAATACAATGTTTTAACGTTTATAATTATATAACTTCCGTAATCTTGGTGTCTCCGGCAAGGACCCGCTCTTTTTCTTTTTAACACACTTCCAGAGGAGGTTCCGAGCTAGACATCTTTTGTTAATAAAATCTTAATGGATTAACGAGGAGAAGTTACGAAAGATGAATTATAGAATTATATTTCGGAATTTATAATTATAAAAAAAATCTTACACACGACTTCGTAATAGAATGAAACGCGTGATCAATGAAATGCATGAAAACAATATGAACTTCAGTACTTACAAACAAAATAGGTTAGGTACGGTAGCTTTTTTTTCGGGTCGCGACTGAAGCAGCTGTGAGGTTCCCGCGTCTTGATAGGGTGGAACTCGATGGCCGAGAATATTAAAGGCAGGGGCCGGAGATGTTATGGGATTTCCCTGGACTGTAGTCCGATCCCTGCCCGTACAGAATGCCTGAACAAGGTAGGGGGCGTTGCCGTGATCAACGCTACAACCTTACTCGCACTTCGAGGAGACCGGGCAGGCGGAATCTTGGAGACATCAACACCCCTACGTCATGGTAACCCGGGGCCACCGCAGTCAGTGCTGCTGGTGTTCTGGAACATTCCGTTGGACCAGAACCAGCTTGACCGGGTCAAAAGGTACATAAATTACCTCAAAGGCGACTCTATCTATGGTGCAAATTTTACACTGCACACAGGCGCAGCGTAGGGGTGCATTCAATGAACCTGTCATTACGGATTCTCCCGATCCATTGACGGTGCTTTTAGATACCTCAAGCACCGGTCACCGTTCTCGTCGAACCCGTCGCTCGTGACGAAGGGTTCGGCGAGTGAACTAGCCCATAGACACAGCCCACTGAGTTGCTCGTCGGATCGTCTCAGTGGGTCGCGTTTCCGATCCGGTGGTAGATACAGCGAAGCACTGCTCTTGCTAGGGCTAGTGTTAGCAACACCTCCGGTTTGAGCCACGTGAGCTCAATGCTAAGGTTACGCTGATATAGCCTCTCAAGGTTATCGGCATAAGTAGGGAAAAAGAAAAAAAAGAACCTGTTGAAATTATGCTTATTTTTTTTTATTACCCTTGTAGGCAGACGAGCATACGGCACACCTGTTGGTGAGTGGTTACCGTGGCCCATGGACTTCAGCAATGCCAGGGACAGACCCAAGCCGCTGCCTACCGGAAATTTTCATATACCATTTTGACCGCGCGCTTACATGAGGGCGCTAAGGGTAATTATTGTACACGAGCGCTACATGGGCTAGTGACGCCTTTGAGTTACTCAAATACTTTAAAAAAAAATAGGAGTTTAGAAAAATATATCACGGTATAAATATACATATACCGACAGACTTATGCCATTGAATTTCTCGACGGATCTTTTCAGGGGGTCGTTGATTCCGATCCGCTGGTAGATTCTGCGAAGCATTGTTCCTGGTTCCTGGGAGTGCGAGTGCTGGTAAATTCGCCAAATGAAGCCCTGTGAGACCGCCTACACATTCAGCGAAGCTAGTATAACCCTTGAGGTTACTAGCATGGGTGGGCAAAACAAAAAAATGTTTAGAATGCTTAGAATCGAATAAAACCATCACTGTGAAACTATCAAACTAAAACAATTCGTTTAGGCCAAGTACTGCGCGAAAAACTGCGTCAATACGAACAGAGGCACACTAAAGAGTCTCCTGCATGACAACACCTGGCCTCATGTTGCCCAACCCATTAAAACATTTGAAACCCTCAAACGGGACATCCCAAGCCTCCAACCATATTACCCAAATATTGCAGTTCCATCACTATTTGTTGGATAAGATGGCACATGGTCTCATCAGCAGTTCCATACACACAGACATCCAATAATGACTTAGCTGGCCTCCAACGACAAACACTGCTATCATCAATGTATTTGAACTATTCTAGAAAGACCGAGAAAAGTTGTGGCTAGTAATAGCAATACTTTGAATGATTCATTTCTAAACGTTTTTTTAACAAAATTTGAATTTTCATTACAAAATCGGCTAGGACTCGATTTTAAATGACCTCCAATCCTTTTTTTCTCATTACATACTGACTAGACTGGTGGTAGGACCTCTTGTTTACTGGTGGTAGGACCTCTTGTTTACTGGTGGTAGGACCTCTTGTTTACTGGTGGTAGGACCTCTTGTGAGTCCGCACGGATAGGTACCACCGCCCCGCCTATTTCTGCCGTGAAGCAGTAATGCGTTTCGGTTTGAAGGGTGGGGCAGCCGTTGTGACTATACTGAGACCTTAGAGCTGTGTCTCAAGGTGTGTGGCGCATTTACGTTGTAGATGTCTATGGGCTCCAGTAACCACTTAACATCAGGTGGGCTGTGAGCTCGTCCACACAGCTAAGCAATAAAAAAAAAAAAAAAAAAAAAAAAAAAAAAAAAAAAAAAAAAAAAAAAAAAAAAAAAAAAAAAAAAAAAAAAAAAAAAAAAAAAAAAAAAAAAAAAAAAAAAAAAAAAAAAAAAAAAAAAAAAAAAAAAAAAAAAAAAAAAAAAAAAAAAAAAAAAAACACCTTTAGAATTATACGGAGCCATTTCGAAATTTTGGGATTACGACTTTAATTACCTAGAATGACCCCTCTCAGCGACTCCTAATAATCAAATGAACTAAAGTAGCTTAAATAATTATAAGTAGACATGCATTAACAAAAACCGACTTAAAATAGAAAAAAAATTATATTCCAAAACAAATTAATATACACTAAAAACAATAATTATCGAAATNAAAAAAAAAAAAAAAAAAAAAAAAAAAAAAAAAAAAAAAAAAAAAAAAAAAAAAAAAAAAACTAGATAACAGGGCACCTTATGGTAAGCAGTGACCATTGGTCACAGACAACAGCTGTAACAACTGCTTTCAAACCTTATTTGAGGGAAAAGATTTATATACAGAGCTAAGTGGAAATTTTAAAATTGAATAACAAAGCATTGACCCAATTATTTGTGTGTGACAAATAAATAATAATTCTATAACATATAGTTTATTTTACTCATCCATAATGATTCATAGTGTACAGTTTTTTACTAGCTTAAACCTAAAACAAGCAAAGGATCTCTGCAGCTTGAATTACCTGGAAATTAAAAAAAAACATAAGAATCAAATACAATAATAAATAAATAAATAATCAAGAATCAGAAATTAAAGTTCATTCATTAGGACATTTCTCAATGATTGAATATGTATGTTGTTAAAATTAACAATATCTACACAATTTCAAATTATAATTTACCTAATTCATGTGACCATTTCTAGGATAAGATATATTTATACAGTATTTTAAGATTCAATAAATGTGAGATCAAGTTTACTTGTATAAAACCATACAAATTTGCCAAGGTGCAAGTCCCATGGTTATAAATCTTTTTTTTTAAAGTAAATTAGCATAATTACTGTTAATAGGATAGATTATAACTCCACAAGTTTTGCCTACAATTATACTTTAATATTTCAAAGCATTCATGATTTAAGAATGTGACAATATTTATAAAATTATATTTTAACTTCTAATACTTGATACCTTAACTTCAAATACAAAGTGGACACCTTTCACATTACAACGTCTTTAGAGTCTAATACCACTTAAGACATGGTCTGTATTTATGAAACTTTGTTCCAATGTCCCAAATGCCCATACATCCTTGAAAAGCCTTTCCAAATTGGTTCAACAGTTGTAACAACTATCACAAACACAATGAACTATGACAGAAATCTATAATTATATTTCTTATTAACCTATACAAAAAAAAAATTATCTTTAACTTACTTCTTCAAAAGCTGGTGACGGGTGATGAGATAGGGTGCTGATAGTCCAGAGCCCGCATATAGGATGAAATACAATGTCAGCTTGTAACGGTTGTGAATGTCGAAGGGTAGATTCTGAAATTTGTCAACATTTTGGAACATAACTTTATGGATTGTTTAGAGTGCCTGCCTTTCTTTGATCTTCTTGGTGATTTTGTAGTAATTAATGTACCAAGAAACGCCCGGAATGAAGACGGCTTTTTACTTTGGAGGCAGATAAAAAGCAACCATATATATGTATAACCATGTATATATGTATAACCATGTATACATACTTGATATCGGTATCAGGATTAATTAGTAGTAGAGAAAAACACTTATTAGGTTATACTGTCTTTACCTTACCGATATCAGAAGAGAAATTGTACAGTACAATTTTTTACATATATTCTAATGTTTAAAAAACATATAGTCACAAATTACAGTTAAAAAAATTTAGGAATAATTTAAATCCTTGCTTAGGTCATTATGTAATGGGACTTGAAAATCGAACTTACCTCGCCAGGAATACCGCCGTTAGAATGGTTTCTCACGAAATTCGTTACCACATTTCTGCCCAATTTGTTTGAGATGCGAGTCAATGGGGTAATCATCTTTACGTTTCTACGATTCTCGAGTAGGTATCACAGCAAAAAACAGAAGTTCGATTTTGCAAATAGCACAGTAGGTATCTTAAAAACTACCACTGCGTTCCTTTTGTATTAAAGTGTAGTAGAATTTTGACAAGAAATAAAATGAATGCATCCGAAAGACTAAACAAAAAAATATGATGAAGAGATTAGGTAGGTTTTGGTAAAAAAATCAAAACAATCCTTTTTTACTTGTATATTTGAGATTTCATCTACATAAATACAAATCCATAGTTAATTTCATTCACTCCGGACTGCCTCTTACTAGTTTGATGTGTTAAATTCCTGAAAATTTTAAACAAACATTTATGTACTGGTTTCATTTCATTTTGAATTCTTTGCTTCTATTAAAAACATGTTGGTACTCCTACTTTTCTTTTTTCATTCAAAAATGATGAATGAAACATGCCGTTACACAAAAAAAAAACTTATACAGCAATTTATTTGGAGAGGAATATAGTATTTATTTATCAAAATCAGAAGTTGAGAAAAAGTTATCGTCATTTGAAGATATTTGGAATATATTTTTATAGTTTTCGATGTTATGAGTTCCATAGCAAAAGTTTTTATTAACACGAAATTGGAGTGAGCCGGTCAAAGCAAAGAACCATCTCATAATTCTACGATCATATAAGGGAGGGAAGGAAGAAGAAAGGCTCTGTGTGTTTTTGTTTGCTACGTTTGTGTGCTACTTTGCCGTTAGGGGCGCTGCTCCAACTCAATACAAATTTAAGTAAACTTTTACGCGATCGAGAAGTTAAAAAACTTGCACTAAGCACACTGTCTGTTTATCTGTTATGTTATCACACCCAAACTACTAAGCCGTTTTTCACGCAATAGGTCGCATTTAATTGTTAGTTACTGGTGGTAGGACCTATTATACCTATACTATATTATATTATACCTATACTTCCTATTTATCAGGAAGGATACAAACAGTAGATGTGAAAGGAAATAGATCTTCAGGCACCACGTTGAAAATGGGTGTACCTCAGGGTTCCATTTTGGGTCCTTTTTTATTTCTAATATATATAAACGATTTGCCTAGTTTTATTGAGTCCCGACACGAGGTCGTATTATTCGCAGATGATACATCTTTATTATTTNTAGAAAACTCTTTAATCAATTAGGTTATACTGCCTTTACCTTACCGATATCAGAAGAGAAATTGTACAGTACAATTTTTTACATATAGTCTAATGTTCATAAAACAAAACAGTCAGAAATTGCAGTTAAAAAAATTAGGAATAATATAAATCCTTGATTATGTCATTATGTAATGGGACTTGAAAATCGAACTTACCTCGCCAGGAATACCGCCGTTAGAATGGTTTCTCACGAAATTCGTTACCACATTTCTGCCCAGTTTGTTTGAAATGCGAGTCAGTGGGGTAATCATCTTTACGTTTCTACGATTCTCGAGTAGGTATCACAGCAAAAAACAGAAATTCGATTTTGCAAATAGCACAGTAGGTATCATAAAAACTACCACTGCGTTCCTTTTGTATTAAAGCGTAGTAGAATTTTGACAAGACCTAAAATGAATGCACCGAAAGACTCCAAACAAAAAAATATGATGAAGAGATTAGGTAGGTTTTGATAAAAAAATCAAAATAATCCTTTTTTACTTGTATATTTGAGATTTCATCTACATAAATACAAATCAATAGTTAATTTTATTCACTCCGGACTGCCTCCTACTAGCTTGATGTGTTAAATTCCTGAAAATTTTAAACAAACATTTATGTACTAGTTTCATTTCATTTTGATTTCTTTGCATCTATTAAAAACATGTTAGTACTCCTACTTTTCCTTTCAAAAATGATGAATGACATATGCCGTTACACAAAAAAAAAAAACTTATACAGCAATTTATTTGGAGAGGAATATAGTATTTATTTATCGAAATCAGAAGTTGAGAAAACGTTATCGTCATTTGAAGATATTTGGAATATATTTTTATATATTCGATATTATGAGTTCCTTAACAAATGTTTTCATTGCGAAATTGTAGTGACCAGATCAAAGCAAAGAACCATCTCATAATTCTACAACCATATAAGGAAGGGAAGGAAGAAAAAAGGCTCTGTGTGTTTTTGTTTGCTACGTTTACGGAATAGATAATTAAGGTTATTTATCTATTCCGTGGTTACGTTTGTGTGCTACTTTTGTCGTTAGTGACACTGCTCCAACTCAATACAAATTTAAATTAACTTTTACGCGATCGAGAAGTTAAAAAACTTAGACTAAGCACACTGATTGTCTGTTATGTTTTCACACCCAAACTACTAAACCGTTTTCACGCAATAAGTCGCATTTAATTGTTAGTTACTTAGCGGTAGGACCTACTGCCTATTTCTGCCGTGAAGCACTAATGCGTTTCGGTTTGAAGGGTGGGGCAGCCGTTGTAACTATACTGAGACCTTAGAACTTATCTCAAGGTGGGTGGCGCATTTACGTTGTAGATGTCTATGGACTCCAGTAACCACTTAACACCAGGTGGGCTGTGAGCTCGTTCACACCTACAAGCAATAAAAAAAAATTAATACACACCTAACAAAACAATACAATATATGACAATAATTTAAAACTATACGGAAACAATATGATCTTTCTTTTATCCTACTTCTGAGAACATGTCTCCACTCACACAATATAAATTATAGTCATAGTCAATACGAAAACGATTTTCTTTCATAAGTTTTTACTATTTAAGGTCCTAGTCCTACTCACCCATTTTAAATTTAAGAATTAGAATTCTTCCTCATCTGATGCCACACAACAAGGAAGGGTGCTGCAAATCCGCTGCCGAAGAACCAGAACATGTGGAAGGTCAGGCGAGCCTTATTATTGATGTCGAATGGCAGATTCTGTAAAAGTATTCCAAACACAAAACTAAAATATCAAAAAAACAACAACAATAAAATACCAATACTATGGTTTCTTAATATTGATGTAACTATTTAGGACATATAATGTTTCGATTTAAATTAATGTTTGTTAGTTGTGTAAATATGCAGACGAACCCACATTTCATCGGACGTTAAAAGATTGAAGGTCCCCGGCGCCACCACAACCGTTAAGTAAATGTCGCATCTCAACGAGAAACGAGATCATCAGCCCACAGTTGTCCACTACTGGGCATATGCCTCTCCCAATTCACGTCACTGATCCCCGATTTTTCATAGATCATCGTTCCACCTGGCTCTTTCGTACTAATTTAATTTAAGATATACTATTAAACAGTTATTTGATTGACTCGTTTAGAAATAAAAATAAAAATAATATACTGTATTAAATATTCCAGTTCTATAATTAAAGTCTCGAATTTTCTATCATGCCTCCATCTATTTAAGAATCTTGAACGTACTAAGGTTTTAACAAAGACACAGTACTCTGCTCGATAAACATCAATTTAACGTTGTTTACATTGTCCAAGAACGCGATTAATGTGTATTGAAAAATGAGCATGTTTATAATTCTTTCAAGAAGCTCTATTACATTTTGTAGTCAGAAGATCTTTGTGTTATTTATTGTTTAGACTATCCTGTTGATAATCAGACTGCACGAATATACGCGATCACATTCTAATCAGACCAATGCTGCTTCTACGATTACCTTTACTTATCCGTCGTGGTGATTTCCTAACCTTTCCATCAAACTTAGCTCTGTGATTTCTATATAAAGTACAAAAGGTAGGGTGCATTGTAGGGCCACTTGGTGAAATACCACCAGGCACCATTCAAGTTAGCTTCTGCGAAACTATCACTCGTCTGGGTTTTAAAGATAGGATCGTTAAACTCTTGATATTGAAACCTTAACTTAATGCCTTAAACGGTAGCTTTTTTCCGTTGTAGTGTCTGGAAACTCTATTTAAGCCCTCTATGTAAAACTTTTGTAATTTTAAAAGTCACTAGAATGGAGTATTAAAAAAAACGATCTTACTACGCATAATACCATGCTAATTAAAAGATTTAAGTAGTTCCGTTGGACCCGGAATATGGAATCAGAGTGAACGATCATCGGTTTCTGAGACGCGCTTACTAACCATAAGAGAGAAATGTTGAATAGCCAGACAAGTATCAGGACTTAACAATCACGTTAACAATAATAGCAATATGAGGTCCATTGAGCATCTGTAACAGTGCGTATCTCTCTTTAAAGCACATGGCGTGACTGCCTTACGACAAATAGATTAAATACTATTTTTTATGGTTATCGTAAACCTCTATACATCATACACGTGCTTGCTCTCACCCGCCGTGAGGCATGAGGTCGATGTCTCAAGTACAGTGTGCACAACTTTTAGTTATTGCATAATTCTAATTTAGACTTGTTTAAAAATACTCAAATCACGAGGCTTCAATTATTAGGATTCTATGTTTCGAAGACAGCTGTTACGTAACTGAAAACGATTTTTCACTCACCTCCCCGGGAATACCGCCGTTGGATCCACTCCTTACACTGGTCTTTACGACATTCTTCCCAACGGTCCTGTTGGAAATCCTTGCAACTGCTCCGATCATTTTGATTTTCCTTAACTTATTTCAGGTCTAAACCCCGTCAGGTAAATGATCGATATCGATAAGATAAACTTATTGACTGTAGGTTCAATATTGGTCGGCGTGTTATGCTGATAAGATACTGATTTCTGAGGATTTGTGCTTGTTGTCATAATTTAAATCCTACTACTTAAGTCGGTAACATTTAATACGTTGAAGTTTTTAAGTCTATTACTGTTAAAGAAATTTTAATGTTTTGTCACTATTCTAATAATTTTAGGTAGGTAGTATACATATTTTACGTTATTTTTATTATTATTAAGATGTCTTCACTATTCACTTGTAAGAAAATAACATAATAATTGAGAAATAATAATTGAAGAAAATTTTAAGATGATAGAAGCCCGGAAATTTTTTTTAATATTAAAAATATTTCTTAATTAGCATTTTAGAAATTAAAAACTTAACATACACATTTAGTAGTATTTTCTTTCTTTAACAATGGAAATGATAAATCCGTCCTGAGAAAGTGGCAACACTATTTTCTGCCATTTTAAAAAAAAAGAAACAGTCGGCCACGCTTGCTGAACAAATCGTTTTAAATTTCGGGAACTCTGTACACATTTCCCTCGCACAGTTTCGATTAAATATTACAGTTATCATTCATTTAATCAAAACATAAAACAAATATCTTAGTCAAAATTGAAGATGGCCGATTTAGACGATTTCTTCGCAAAAAAAGATCGTAAAAAATCAAAAGCAGTGAAAAAGTTTGCAACAGCCGATGAGTTAGCTAAAAAATTAGAAGACACCAAACAGAAAACCGAAACTAGGCCGAAGAAAGAGCGACCGGCGCAGGATGGCGAGGAGGCGGGGAAGACCGGAGTGAGTAATTGAACAAAACATGTTTTATACTTAAATAGGTTGTTTAACTAGTGCTCTCAATCGACTGTGTCAATGGCATCATAGTTGAAAACATTATTTCACCTTCATGTACAACGCTTGAATGACAAGATAGGTTTCTGTGTGACCTGGATTCTCTAACTAGCTCATTAACATACTGAGTAGTGCAATTAGCGATGAGTGAATTATTTAATTTAAAGACGTTTTTCACATACACCATCAATAAAAAATTAAAAGGCTACATGGTTACCTGTACCCTGGCCTCTATTTAATTTAACAATTGTCAGTATGCTTGGGTGAGTCATGGCATATTTAGATATGCAATTTCTTGTTTTGTATGGCTTCATTTCACACAAAGGAAAATAGTATAAAACAGGTATCATGCTAACAATCTAAGATTAGATCTAAGTTAAAAAGTAAAGAAATATAGACAGGCTTACTATTAGAATTATACACCTACTACACAATTAATATTTGAACTAGTTTTAATTTGATGTGGCATAAAAAAAATTGAGATTAATTACTAGTTCAATGTATGACACATATTGATTGTCTATACTAATATTATAAAGAGGAAAGATTTGTTTGTTTGTTTGTTTCGAATAGGCTCCGAAACTACTGGACCGATTTGAAAAATTATTTTTCCATTAGAAGCCGACATTGTCCCTGATGAACATAGGCTACCTTTTTAATTTTTTTTTAAATTTTTTTTTTTTATTTCTTGTGTGTTTTAATGTTTCCGAAGCGAAGCGAGGGCGGGTCGCTAGTACCATATAAAATAACAAAGAATAGTGGAAATTTTTAATGAAAAATAGGGAACATCTGTAAGTTTGATACTTTATTGGTCTTCCAATGTTTATGACTCCTAAAGTGCTACTTAAGTTACCATACACCATAATCAGATTTAAAGCACAAATATAACCACCGTAAATTAACCTCTCAGTGTCTGCAGCAGAACTATGTCAGGGCGTACCAAAAATCATGCAGTGAAAAAGAACAGAGGATTAGTAAAAAACATGAAAAAAATATAAATGCTTGATTTAAACTAAACATATTATTGAGGGTAATTGACAAACCATTTCAACTTTGCCTGCCATTGTATTTTGAGTTGTTTTGTTTGTTCTGGTCACACTTTGCACTTTGAACCTGACCTACATACCCTTGAGAAGATGCAATTTTAATGTATTGAGCTAAGCTAAAATATGAAAGTTAGCTATGTCCTAAAGTTAAGTAGATAATGTGTTATTGTTTCAAGTTTAAATCTTGACATTTCTGCTCGAATGGAGTAAAGCTAGATTTTTTAAAAGATTTTAGAGAACTTTGATTTTAATTTATAAAAATAAATTTGCATATTTTAATAAATTGTAGTGAGTTGACCTTACTATCATGCTTCTATATTATTTTCTCATTCCAAGTTATTGTTTTCTTTGAATATGTACAGAATTGCTATGCAAAATATTCTAGCTTCCTATTTTTGGGGTTGTATTTACCATGTTCCTATTTGTACCAGGAAAGCGAGGAGCTGATGCTAATATCTACAATTTAGCAATATATTATCAACCTTAACAGTAGACTGCAGAACACTTTAATTGTATACAAAAAAAGACCAATCCTCCTATCTCCCTTTCCCATAAGAATTGCATGCAAGAAACAGATAATCTAACTAATATTAAGGTTTTTTATTTAATTAAGAATAAATTTAAGAAACAGATAACTGGTATTAAAGTTTTTTTATTTAATTAAATTAAAGTAATTAAAATAATATTGAGTATTCATACTAGAAAGAAATGAAACACAATAACAAAATTTAATTTGAATCAATCTTTCTACTCTATAATAAGTATTTGAGACTATATTTCATTCTTTAAGAAAAATACACTGGAAACATGATATTAATGTTTGATTATTTGTTGATGGTTGTAGGTACACAGTCAATATAAAAGAAGATATCACTAAAAATATCTTTAGTAAATCATAATCAAATTAGTATTTGACATTTCTATTTGTTCTGAAAGTGAAAAATGTAGACATAGACAAAATAATCCTAAAGACAAGTCTAGGTGTATCAGAGCTTTTATTTGAAGATATTTATAGGTTGACTATTTTTATATTTATTAATTTAAAAAACTGGTGTACCATTGATGACTGCGCTTCATAATAAAATAGTCTTTATTACAAATTTCATGGTATTGGACTTACATTAAGTGATAGTTTATTTCAAGCTCCATAATTGATGGCATAACCCTTCCCAGCTTGCCCCAATCCTTTCTTTCAAGAGTTATGCTCATTCTAATTTTGAGCACAATACTATCATTTATTATCTGAATGGGATTCAAAAAAAAAATATTCAGTGTTTTTTTCACACCCATTACAAACCTTATAACTTGATACAGCTAAGTACTACAATCCTGTCTGTTTTTGGAGTATAGCATTCTAAAAGTGAAGAAGAGAAATGAGATTGAAAATTCAGCCTAAACTCTAAAACTAACAAAAACTGAGAAAAAACTTAGTATACTAAAGAAAATAAAGCATACCTTTACACTTTTAGAAAGTTTGTACACTCATTATGCTTTTGATTGCATTAACAATAATTACTCAAACATTTTTCTTTATAGTTGCAGCAAATGTATATTTACCAATATGAACATACATTGATAAGACTGTCTTTATTTAAACTCGTGTGTCTTTGAATCATTAAATTTTAATGCAGCAAGTAAAACTCTAAAGAATAATGTTTAAACAACATCAACCCATCTAATATAAAAAAGAAAATGCTTCACAACACTTGCTTATTTTAAACTATCTTTTGAATATTAATACGTGAAGCAAAAACTTTGTATCCCTTTTTACGAAAATTGTGCGGATGGAGGAGTATGAAATTTTGCACACTTATAGAGAATATAGAAAAGAAGTGCACAACGCAAATATTTTTTTTAAATAATGCATAAAAAATACATTAAATCAATAAAGAAAACATTACACACACTACATACCATGTATTTGACGCACACACACATGCATACTATTTATTGTCAAACTTTTGTTCTTCACGTCTGTTGTCGAATTGAGAATAGATTAAATATTGTTTGTCTTTGTTAATATTTTTTATAGTGTAGTCTTGGCGAAATTTGTGATTATAGAAGTATAAAATACAATCATAATAGTGTAAAAACATACAATTCCAATTAATTATAGTCGAATTTCGACTACTGCGGGACCTCTAGTCTTTTGAATTTTCCAATATATGTATTTGAATGAATTGGTGTACGTACCAGGTTGGTTTATACGTTCGTTCACATGTTGAGTTTATTTTTGAGAATTGAATCATTGTTTACTTCATAATTATTATTGAGGAAAATCCAAGCATATAATCTTATGGCATGTATTGTATTTATTTAGAATGATATACTAATTAGTTTGTCTTATGAATTATAGTCATACTTGACCGCTGGGGAACATTGAAAACAAGTTATACAATTGATTGTAACAGATAAGCATAATTAAATTGTGTTAATGGCTTTTTGATTCGTGTAACTGCATAGACTGGTGGGTAACTCATTAATATCTGAGCCTACCTAAGTAAAATTAACCTGAATTAAAGAGATTTTCATCTACAAACAAGAAGATATTATGATTGGTTTGTGACAGAAATAGGTATTAAATAAAGAAAATTTTCCTAAGATTTTCAGCTTTTTTTTGTGTATCATATGTGGATCCCTCCAACCAGGTGGACCGACGACTTAGTGCGCACGGCGGGAAGTCGTTGGATGCGGAAGGCGGAGGACCGCATTATGTGGAAGGCCTATGTCCAGCAGTGGGCAGATAAAGGCTGATGATGATGATGATATGTGGATGAATGCTGATCTTATAGAAATTGAAGGTCATAAGCATTGTAACTTGAAAGCCACAAGAAACTGCATGTCGAAGTCTCAGTTGTGCTTTATAATATTTGTTCTCTTCAAACACCAAAAATAGGTAAGAAGCGACCCGCCCTCGCTTCGCTTCGGAAACATTAAATTTTATTATTGATAGCTGAGTCCCGCGATTTTACTCGCGGCTATTGTCGGATCGCGGGTGACGCCGCGGGGCGAAGCTAGTCTAAGAAAGTAGCCTAAGTTACTCCTTATATCATCAACCACCTATCGGTGAAAGTCTCGTCAAAATCGGTCCAGCCGTTCCAGAGATTAGCCGGAACAAACAGACAGACAAAAATTGTAAAAAATGTTATTTTGGTGTATGTG